GCGGTGCGCTACCCCGCCGGCCAGGCACCCCGCCCCGAGCCCGCGCCCGCGGCGGCGGCGCTGCAAGCCGAGGAGGTGCTCGCCAGCGCGGTGGTGGACCTGCCGGCAGCGCTGGCCGCGGGCGGCGCCGCCGGCTCGCGGTCGCTGCTGGAGCGGCGCGGCTTCAAGATCGGGGGCGGCCCCGGCGGCGCTCCCGCGGCGGCGGCAGCAGCAGCACGGAGCAGAGGGAAGGGGCGAGAGGCCGGCGGCTGGTGGTTGGAGGCGGACGCGGTCGTGGTGGGCAGCGGCGCCGGGGGTGGTGTGGCGGCGGCGGTGCTGGCGGCGGCTGGTCTCAGGGTGGTGGTGGTTGAGAAGGGAAGCTGGAAGCGCATGGCAGGTGGGCGCGGGGCTGTCTCAAGTTCCCTGCTGAGTTGTGTTGAATGCGGTCGGACGTGCGTGCGCTGACAGAGAGGATTGAGGTTGTGGCCATACAGAAGGTGCACCCCCTCTTGAGGTCACCACCCCCCACCCCCCCCCAACGGCGGTGCCTGCAGACCTGACATGGCTGGAAGGGGAGTCCACCGACACCATGTTCGAGCGGGGAGGTGAGCTGGGTTGTGTGGATCCGTTGCCGATCAGTCGCTGCTGGGCGTCGTCGCTGCTGCTCAAGAGCAACGGCCGCGCAAGGGCCTGAAGCAAGCGGCCACCGCCGCAGCGCCCGCGCCCTGCGGAACAAAGGCGCGTCGGGCCCGCCCGCTGCACACACGCCATCGGGATGTGCCCTGCTGGCCGTCACTGCTCAGCGCCCGATGCAGTGCATTGACTGTCACGAGACGCCGACGTCCCCCCGTACCCTGCACCATGGGGCTGGCCCTTCCTGCCCTGCAGCGTTCCTGGCGACTGAGGATGGCGGCATGAGCATCCTGGCGGGCGCCACGCTGGGTGAGCAGGAGGCAGCAAGCTGCGGCAGCTCTCATGCACACGACCTCGCTGCCTCTGTCCTACGTGATCTTGTACCCCCCCCCCTGCTACGATTTTTGATGGCTCGAGCTTGCATCCACGTCATCACCTGCCTCCTTTTTTGCCACCTCTTTCCCACATCAAACTGCAGGTGGTGGGACCAAGGTCAACTGGTGGGTCTATGGTACAGGGTGGGATGGGGGAGCGAGGCTGGGACAGGTGATGAGGGGCGAGTGAATGTACACCAGGGCACAGCTGGAGGAAGGAGCGAATGTATCACCAACTACAGGCTGTGTCATTCCAAAGCGCCAGCCAGGCGCCCCTCCTCCGGCTGGCTGACGCAAGTATCTTTGACGGCGCCAACACTGACCGCCTACATAACCAACAACCTGCGTGCTTGCAGGTGCGCGTCCCTCCGCACCCCAGATCATGTCCGGAAGGAGTGGGCCGAGCGCCACGGCCTGCCGCGCTTCGCGACCCCTGAGTTCGACGCCTCGCTCGACGCCGTCACCGCCCGCCTGGGCGTGACTAATACGACGCGCCTGAACGGCAGCAACGGCGCGCTTTACGACGGCCTGGTCGAGCTCGGCGCGGACGCACGGAAGCTGCCGAGAAACTGCCTGTCGGACGAGTGCAGCGGCTTCTGCTCCCTCGGGTGCAAGACCGGCCACAAGGTGTCCACTGACGTGTCATACCTGGCTGATGCAGTGAAGAACGGCGCACGCATCATCACGGGCGTCCACGCGCGCCGGGTGCTGCTTGAACCAAACATTGGCGCCGGCAGCGGCGCACGCGGCGGCGGCGAAGGCAGTGGCGGCGGCAGGGCCCACAGGGCGGCCGGGGTGGAGCTGGTCGCCGGCGGCGCGGAGGGCGGCGCGGGGTTTACGGTGGTCGTCAGGGCGCCGATCGTGGTGGCGAGCGCTGGGTCTATTCATTCGGTGGGTTTGCTTTGTTTGGAGGAAGCTCTTGGGGTGCTGGAAGTGTGATCTGAGTTGTGATGAGCAACCTGCTCTGCTTAGGGTCGTACGATGGGCTTGTCGCCAACGGAATGCAGCAGGAAGCGCCCTGGAAACTTGCGGCTGTTGCGCCTTACTCATGCTTGGGCGTCGCCCCAGCCAGCAAAGATACCGCACCAACATCTGCGCCCCTGCCACTGCCCCCGCCCATCCGCCGCGACAGCCCGCGCTGCTGCTGCGCAGCGGCATCACCTGCGGCGGCAACGTGGGCGCGCACCTGCGTGTCCACCCCGCGTTCGGCGTGCTGGGGCTGTTTGACGGGGAGGAGCGGAGGCGACACTCGGCGGAGCGCGGGGCCATAGACATGTTCAAGGTGGGTCAACTCGATCAAAAGTTCTGGTCTGATCTGCTCTGATCTGGGCAACCTCGTCTCAATTCAATGTCATCTCCAGCGAGCGCGCTGCTGGCCCACCGTGTTGGTGGTGATGGGGTGTTTGGGCTTCAGGGCTTGTCAGGCAGGTGCACGCCTCGTTTGCAGGGCACGTGGAGGCAGTGCCTGCGCATGGAAGGTGGTTCACCAAATCCTGCACCCCCCAAAAGCCGCCGGTCCGCCTTGCCCCGCTCTCACGCGCCCCCCAGGGTGTCATGATGCTCACCTACTCGCTGTCGGCCGCCAAGTGGGAGCAGGGCGGGTACGGAGGTGCGTGCTGCTGACGCCGCGAGGCTCTGAGCATCACGGGCACTTTTTGACAACAACACCGACGCCTGCCTCGTTCGACCCTGCCGTCATCAAAGCGGCGCAGTCGTCTCAGCATGTGCCCCTCGCTCTTGCGAGCTCTGATGGCCCCCTCGCTGGCACCGGCCAGACCCAAAATTTCACAAAACAAAGCGCTTGCTGCCCACCCCCCACTCTGCCCACAACCCAACACCCCAGCACCCCAGCACTCCCAACACCGGTCCCCCCACACCCCAACACCCCAACCTGCAGCCATGGTGAGCGTGCCGTCGCTGCACCCCGGGCTGCTGGCTGCGTGCTACCCCTGGCACCCTACAAAGTACAAGGGCAACATCGCAAACATGCAGAGTGGGTGGCGACCTTGTCCCGGGACTGCGAGGGGAGAGTGGGCGCAGGCAGGGTGGGCGGCTTCGCTTTGCCGTCCTGCAAGGTGGAAATGCGCGGCTGCGCGCAAGGTGGCGGTTTCTGCTGACGGCATGCAAAAACGGACCCCGGGATCGCTTGCAATTGTGAAAAAAGCTGGCGCAGCATGGCGATGGCCACGACCGCTTTTTGCAGTTGCCGCGCGCGACAGCGGTTGCAAAGTGCGTTACGCAGTCCGCACATCGCGGGCCGCTGTGACAGGTTGCTTCACCCCAACCTCACCTCGAACTGCCGCTCCTCGGCCCTTGTTCCTCGCCCCCTTGTTTGCCTGAACCCCAGACATTGCCACAACAGTGGTGTTTGCACGTGATACGGGGTCTGGGCGCGTGACCATCGACGGGCGCGGGCGGCCGCGGGTGCACTACTGGCCGGCGCCAGAGACGCAGCGGAGCATCTTGGAGGTAGGGTGCAGGTGTAGCGGGCTGCTTGTGAGCGTGTGTGTGATTTTTTTCGGGGGAGCGTACGCACTACTCGTGTATGGGGCCGCAGTCCAAGGAGTGTCACGGGTGCCGACGTGGTTCTGGTCCTACAGCGTGACAGCGCGCGCGACGGAGGAGGGGAGCAGGCAGGCCTGGAAGGGACAAGCCCCTGCGCGACCCCATGTTGAACACTCGCGCGGCGCCTGATCAAAACACTACCTGCACCCCTGCACCCGATGCTTGACGGCTGCGGCAGGGGATGGAGCTGGCCCTGCGCGCCTACATTGCGGCGGGCGCCAAGGAGGTCACCCTGCCGCACGCGTTTGGCCACTTGGTGACGACCGCCGACCAGGGCGGCCGCGGGCTCGAGGAGCTTATCAGGTGGGGCGCGGCGGCTGCTCGATTGTGCTGGGTCGCCGCCGACGGCCTCAACCAGCACGTGGTGTAGCGGCCACTCGCGCTCCCTGCCCTGCAACAGCGGCCTGCTGTCGCTAAATGAGGATCGAATCAGGATTGTCAGGGCTTCTGGAGTCATTCAGCCTCGTAAGGCTGTGCTTGGCGCGCAAAGTTCAGTCTTGCGCACTGAGGGGATGCATCACCAGCCGCTGTTAATGTCGACGCCTGGCATGCGTCACTTTAATCGGTACTCAGACAATAAATGCGTTCGCCCCCTCCATCCCTCAACCACACGGAAACCCTCCGCAGGTCGGCGCACGCTGGCGGGGTCCGGCGCTACGACATGCCGCTGTTCTCGGCCCACCAGATGGGCTCCTGCCGCATGGGGGCGTCACCCAAGTGAGTGCCACCCGTCGGGACGCCCGGCCCCACACGCACCCGCCCGCGCCCGCAAGGCCATGGCAGCGCACCACACTGCCGCCCGCCCAGGCCCAAAGCCCATCAATTGATGTGGGAGCTGTGCAAACAAGTGCTGGCTGCTCGCTGCCTGCGAGGCGCTAACACTCAAAGAAGAATGCAGGGGAGCGTCTCAGGTGTGCGTTCACAGTGACGCCTCTGTCCCGACAGCGGCTTGGTGGGTCTACCACCCAACACGCTGTTTTATGCGCGGCACCCACACCTCGACGCCCCACCCGCGTCCCTAGGGACTCTGTATGTGACGGCTGCGGGGAGGTCTGGGGTGTGGCAGGACTGTTCGTGGCGGACGCCTCTGCCTTCCCCACCGCATCTGGAGTCAACCCCATGATCACCGCCATGGTGAGGACGGGCAGGCTCTGCAACAGATGTTTAATTCTTATATTGCCGGCCTTTGCATCAGTGATTTTGCCAAGGTAGTGAGCGCGGTGTTGCGGTCGAGAGCGTCGCTGGGGTCGGCATCTGCGACACCCATCACATCAGTCATGATGTACGTGCTCGGCTTCGTGGCGCAGCAGCAGTACGATGTTTCAAGAGTTGTGTGTTCGTGTGTGGTTGCGCACGTTCGTGTGTGTGTCCGAACAAGATTTCTGATCTTGGGCCAGCAAACCTCCTTGTCGAGGTGGCGGGTGAGGTGACGGGGGTTGTGCATGCACGCAGGGGTGGGCTGCCTAGACGCCATTTGGGGGCGTGGAGGTTGTCCGGCGCTTGTGCAGGTAGCAGCAGCCTCATTTGCTGCCTTCCGCTGCCGCTACCGCCTCTGCTGATGCTCCTGCTACTCAAAGCCAGGGTTGAGCAACGCACCTGTTCCTCCCCACACTTGAGAATCCAGGCCTGAGTCTCTCCCCCTCCTGCCACACACATAATCCTGCCGCCCCCAGGCAATCGGGCACATGACATCCACTGGCGTCGCAAAGCGGGCAGCACAGCGCCGCAGGGCTGATATGCTGGCCTCCAACGGCGTTGATGGCTGAGGTCTGGGGCACAGCGCAAGGAGAATCTCTTAGCGCACAGGACAGGGGCGCGGTTTGCGGGGATCGACGCAGCAGCCCGCATGCTGCTCTGATGATTCAAGTGCCGTGATGCATGTCTAACGTTTGGTGTGAAATTCACGGCTGAGTGTTTCACAGGTCTCAGGGCAGCACAGGTAGGCCCACGGTGGGCTTCTTGTCATCAGCACTGGATGCTGGGCCACTGCATGTGACACAGCTTGGAATGGTGGGTGTTTGCAGGGTACGCAAGTCGGCAATGACGGTCGAGTGCGCCATCGCACCAACAGGAACGATTTTACTAAGAAAACAACAAAATTACGTTTTCGCAGTGCATATTCAAGTTTTCAACTCTGTAATTTAGTAGTATGGTCGATGTCCTTCTGTGACCTTGCATGCACGCAAGCTATTTTCTCAACCTTACCCAAGTGCATATCTGCTCCTCTGCTGTGGGTGGGGGGCTGGCGTGGACCAGCGTAATGGAGCGTCATGTGATGAGTTACATTTGGCGCCGTCATCTGGGTAACATCCAGCAGGTGCCTATATCGCTCATGTATAATGCAGATTACAACATTCAAACTCAAAATGAGGCAGTGGCCTGGTGAGTGGATCGTGCAAACAGCGCCATGTGAGGCGGCCTTGCAACGAGTCTCAGCATTGACCAACCTGCCTGAGAGCAGTGCGCGGCCACTTCAATTGCTGCCCAGAACTTCGCGCTTTGTGAACACCGCTCTAACATATATGATGTTGTGATCGTACCGACATGAATTCTTGATCCGGGCAGCCATGCAAGCCTTCGTTCCTGCGAGCAGTTTTTGCGTGTCATTCTGCTGCACGCCCGTGATACCTAGATAGGGTGAAGCATATATATGAATTGATGTGATACAACTTGATAGCCATGAGACCTGGCCGCAGGTCGCTGCCGCCGCTGCAGGCACCAGCGCGCACATCGCAGTGCGCTGCCGACACTGCCACCTCTGCAGCTGGCGCAGTGAACGCAGCTGATGCAGCACATGACCGGTTCTCGCCTTATTTGCAGGTGAAATGCGAGTGTGTCTAAGAGCATGGGGCTACATAAGGTCTCGCATGCATGGCTCCCATGAACCAACCCTGCGTGCTTCGCCTCGCTCGTGCAGGGCATCTCCCCACAGCAGCCGCAGGCACTGCAGCTAGCGCACTCCTCCTCTTTCGGCGGCGCCAGGGCCAACCTGGCGGCTTGTAAATTGAGGTCCACATCAGCAGTGGGGACAGATTCCGATGCATCGCTGCCGCCACCCCCACCCGCCGAGCGAGGGCGGTCCAGGTCTGCCCTCGGCGCGGTGGCGATTGGGGCTGGCGGCGGCGGCTTTGGTGCCGTCCGCGTCCCTGCGGCGATTGAGGAGCGGTTGGTGCGCACGTCATCAGTGGGGCGCCACGAGCACAACTATCGTCGGCAGCGGCGGCAGCAGCAGCAGCAGCAGCAGCAGCAGCAGCAGCAGCAGCTGTACCAGTTGCGGGCATGGCCAGGGCAGCAACAAGGACCAGGCGCCTGCACCAACCAAACCAACGCTAGCTGTACGGGCTGCGCTGGGGATCAGAAGAGCCATGCGCACATCGAGGCAGCTGGGGAGTTGTCATGCAGCCCGCTTGGCAGGGGACGTGTGTGCCTGCCTGCCATGCAACCGCATCCAGGACTTGCAGTGCCACCACCGGCTACACTGCCGGCAACGGCGCTGCAGCAGCGGAAGCGGCTGGACCGGAGCAGTGACAGCAGCAACATCCTCAGGTTGGCACTGGACAGCACCATCTTCTACGGCCACCCACATGCGCGCAAGTCGCCAGCGCCGCACGCTAGAAGAGACAGAATCAATCAATGTGACTGTGATTTTGACCTGCACACAGCACTGTTTGGCATGGTTTGCACAGACGCAACAGAACTTGTCCTCACCCCCGCCCCCCTCGAGCAGGGACCAGGTCACGAGCTCGGCCGCGCTCTTGCGCAGCCGCGCAGAGGCGCGTGTCCTGGCGCTGGTGCCGGCACACAGCCTGCGCGACAGGTTTGACGCCATCGACGCCGCCGTGGTCGAGGCCGGCGAGAGCCAGCCCGTTTTGGGGCCGCTGCTGCGGCTGGTGGCTGAGCTGTACCGCCAGGCGGCGCACCACTACTGCGCGGCGTGTGATCTTGTTGACCACGGCGACGTCGAGTTTGACCGGGCGGCGGCGGTCCGTGGCGCGTCCGCAAACGGCGGAGATGAAGGTCGGAGCGGCAGTGTGGTTGAGGCTGCAGAGGCTGGGGGTGGCGAGCATAGTGCTGCCGCTGTATTTCAATCAGAGGGTGCAGAGCACGCAGCTTTGAAGGACAGCAGCGCCTCCACAGGGGCACAGAGCGGTGGCCAGTCCCACAAAGACGATAGTGCCATCGAGGCGGCAGGCAACAGCGGCGGCGGCGAGTGCGCAGGGGTTTCAACGGCCACGGAGCAGGCAACGGGCGGCGAATCTGCCCGTGAAGTCACTGAGGAGGCGCAGCAGCTAGGTTTCCAGGACAACCCGAAGCGCGGCTTCAAGGTCAGGTGGGAGGACGGCGGCGGAACGCACCGGCCCAGCTACCAGTTCAGCGCCCGCGCGTCAGCCGGCAGCAGCCGCTATGGCAGCACGCGGGGCACCACGCGCTCTCCAAGAAGCAGCGATGAGGGCGGCTGGGAGGACGGCGACGGCGTCAGCGGCGCCGAAGTTACGGGCGTCGGCGACGGCGGCGTGCCGGATGCACCAGGAGGCGGAGGGGATATGGACGCTGCGTCCCTTCTCGCGCGGCGCATGAGCCTGGTGTCCGACAGATTTCGGGGCAGCAGCTTTGGCAGCGGTGAGAGGCGCCACGTCAACCCACAGCAGCATCACAGCGGCCTAGGCAGCCAATCGCAGCGACGGGCCTCTGCGAGTGGTGCGACGGCTGTTGCAGCTGCGTCGGCAGCGGCGCCTGCAACTGGAGCGGCTGCGGCCGGGCACGGCAGGCCTAGCAGTAGTGGTGGCCCGGCTCAGCCAGCTGATGGCATCCCCCACGGCAGCGAAAGCGGCATGCGACCCAGCAACGCGAGCAGCTGCAGCTCAGGCCGGCGCGCGACATACGAGCGTTACTCGTGGGGACGCACCCTAACGACCGACGATTGGGCTCCCGCGCCTGAAGGGGTGGCAAAGCTGGATCTGACGGACATGGAGGGGAAGATACGTGAGGAGCGCCAGCGGCGCACCGCTGCTTTCAAAGCGGAGCGCGCGCGCCTCGCAGCAGGCGGGCAGTGAGAGGGGCTGGCCCTCCCCGCCATGGCCCTGCTGACCGCTGCCGCAGCCTTCCCGAGCGGCGCGTGTCGGCCACCGATCCCAGGCGGGTTAGCAGTGCACACTGGGCTGTTGGATACTGCATTGCGCATGCATTGCCCCGCAACCCCGGGGGTGATTCCGTTGAGGGTGTGCTTATTGCTGTGTGCAGGCTCCTTGGCCGCCATACTGCGTCAGCTTTCACTTTCATGCGCCAGTCGCAAAACTGCCACTTGCTTCGAAGCCACCGCTGCCGCAAACCTGTGGCGCCCACAGTGGCCGCCGAGCACATCACACTTGGGTTCACTTGCGTTTACAAAAGCAGTTGGTTGTGTTCCCACGAGAGGTCTAGCTGCACAAACCTACAAACGTGAATAGTCAAGTTAGACAAGTGTCACACGCATGCTAAGTTCCCGCCCCTAATAATATATATGTCTGTGATAGGGGTCTCGACACCTGCGCCAATGTCAGCTGTAATGATGCTGCCAATGGGTGGCAGGTGCTGGGGCTGCTCGCCTATGATACATGTCCAGGGGTCCATGTATGGGTCGCAAACCAAGAGAATGTATAAAACAAAATAAAATATTGAACCCAGCAAGACGTGCCACAGGGCTCTGATGCTAGGTGGGCGCCTGTTGCCACGAAGAGCGGTATTTGCCAAACGTTGCGGCGACAGGGCGAGCAAACTTTTTTGCCCCGCGCCGGCGGCGCGGCAGTCAGCCCACCCGAACCGCTTGCTGCACAGAGGGTTTGGATGAGTAAAGGCGCAGCCGATGAGGGGTGGATTATCAGCGGCGGGTTGCCAACAGAGGGATAGCAGCATGCCATAGAATACTGCTATGTTGGTACAAAATGCTGCCCAACATCCGCCATGGGAGCGCGGCAGCGAACCGCTGGATTGCGCAGCTTGTCGACCGCCCAACGTGGGCGCGGCGCGGTCGCTGCATTGGACGATGCCAAAGGAACTGCATTGGACGATGCCAAAGGAACTGTGGGGCATGTTGACGGTGGGGAATGCAAGAGCTCCTCCTGTGGTGGCTGGCGACGTCAAAGTGCACCAGCCAGGGAGTGGCGGCTTATTGGTCCGCTGGCGCAACAGGCGCCCTACATTTGATTGGATTGGCGGGAGGTCCCCGAGCGCTGACTGTTGCAAAGCGGGCAAGTTGTGCAGGCTTGTTGTTCCCTCATGCTTTCTTAAGCGACTTTTCGCACTCACAGAAAAGGCAGGAGCGCTGCCCAGCACGCAGCGCGGCAATGCGGCGTCCGGCCACCCGTTGGCTTGCCCGCGTGCGTGGAGGTGTCACCCCTAGGGCAGCCTGAGCGCCACCCTTCACCCGGAAACAGCGGGCGACGCGGCCGACGCGCGCGTGTACGAGAAGCTCATGCAAATGGGCGCCTGCGCGCCAAACGCCGCCAGGAGTCCACGCCCAACCGCCCACACGCCGTCGCCGGCAACGAGCGCGGCGCCCACGAGGGCGGCGTACGCGTCCGCGCCGCGCGGGTGGCGCCAGCGCCACGCAACGCGGATAGCGGCACCGACGGCGACGCCGACTGGGGTGGCGAGTGGGAGGGGAGGTGCGGAAGCTGAGGGGTTGGCGGGACGGGTGAGTAATGTTGGCATGCAGGCTGTGGCAAGCTGCACGCGTCAAATATCACAGGCCACGGAGTGTGTGCAGTCAAAACTCACTTGACGGTCTAACAAAATGTGTGAACATACCCCCACCGACCAACCGTATTGCACGCAGTCAGCACCCAATCTGCCAGGCTCCGCCCACAACCAGCCCCCTGGGGCGGGCCCCGAGCTGATCCCATGTCGTGCAGCTTGCAAAGGGTGTCACCGCACACACTCACCGGCGATGTTGGCGCCAGACAGGAAAATCACACCCATCACGACGGGCATGGGCACCAGCGCGCGCACGCGTGAGCGCATCGCTCCTCTCGCGCCCGCCAGTAGCAGGCCGACCACGAGCGCCGCCAGCGCCAGCCACGTCGCGTAGGCCGGCAGCGCACCCGCGCCGCTCGCCGCAAACGCGTCGGCCGCCGCGAGCACGGGAGCCGCGAGCGGCGACGGCAGGCCGGCGGCGGCGGCCGGCGCGGACGACACAAGCAGGTGCGCCAGCGGCGCGAGCACGGCGCCACTGAGGCAGCCGAGGATGTGAGCGGCAAAAACTGCGGTCGGCGACGCCATGACCGTGTACCCGGCAGCAAAACTGTAGCCCATCTGGGCCGCCGATTGGGTGACACCCAGCACGAGGCCGCCGGCCGCGAGCCCCGCGCCGGCAGTGCCGGCCCACGCAGCGGCCAAGGCGGCCGCGGCTGACGCGAACGCCGGCGCGAACGCGACGTCCGTCGCGCCGGCGGCGCGCGCGTTGGCGAGCGCTACGAGCGGCGCCGCCGCGGCGGCCGCCAGCAGGTGCCACCAGCGCACGCCCTGCAGCGGTGCGAGCAGCGGCGGCAGCGCGAAAACGGCGGCGACGAGCAGCACCGCGGACGCTGCCGCGGCGCAGGGGGCGAGGAGGCGCATGTCTTCGGACATGAACACGTGGCGCCGCAGGCCGCGCTCAACTGAGGCCAGGCCGAACTGCAGGTTTGATGCGTCAGACAGGGCGTCGTTCTCTATTGCAGCCAGCGCCTCCGCCTGCCACCCCCGCCGCGCCGCCGCGCGGCGCCCCGCGCCGCCGCCGCCGCTGCCGCTGCCGCCGCTGTCACCGCCGCTGCCGCCGCCCGCGGCGGCCTTGCCGTGTCGCCGTGCGACGCGCGCCGGAGGTCCCGAGGTCCCAGCCGCGGCCGCCTTCGCCTTCCCGGCCCCCCGTCGCCACCGGCTGCCGCCGTCCCCGTCGCAGGTGCGGCGCCCGTCGCTCGCCGTCCGTGCGAACAGCCACTCGGCGGCGGCGTAGCATAGCGCGTGCAGGCCGTCTGCTGCAACTAGGGCCACTGCCAGCGACAGTTGGTAGCCGTACAGGCCGCGGACGTCCCAGGCTGCCAGGTTGGCTGGGAACCACTCGCCCTGCTTAGAATTCAGGACCGGCCACATGACGCCCCATGAGATGAGGGCGCCCGCCAGCATGCTCCCTGAGCGCACATGGTGCAGGGCGCGCAAGCGACCATTGTGAGAAGGAAGGGGCGAGAGAGGGGTGCGCAGATCTAATAGTGCATGCCTTGGGCTGTGCGCTTGGGGCCACAGGTGCATGGTCAGGGGAGCCTAAGGATTGCAAGCGTGTTGCAGGCGGTCACTGCTGCACCAGCAGGGCCGACCGCCGCCCCAGGGGGGGCAGCAGAGATGAAGTATGGGAGGGGGCGAGGAAATGAGGGCTCACATGCGACGCTGAGGGGCACCATGAGGCCAATGCCGACGAGGGGCATCTGGAAGTCAAACAGCCACCCCCACTTGGCGAGGGACAGGCCTGCAGGCGGTGTGGAAGGAGGCGCACACGGCAGCACAGCGTAATGGGGCGAGCTGGGGAGGGGCAGGAGGGGCAGGCGGCGTAGCAGCTCCAGGAGGGTTGCGAGGCACTGCGTCAGCCAGGGGTGAAGGCCTGCGAAGGACCCTGGTCTTGGGGTGTCAAGGCCCACCCAAAAACAGGTCTTGTGCTTTTCCAACACAATCGCAAAGGTCGGTGCTCACCAAACGTCGGGAAGTTGGCAAACCCGTCGCATTGCGGGTTGTTGAAGACCCACTGGTACCCGCTGACCGCCAGTGAGATGGCGGACCACTGCGTGAAGCGCCCCATCTGCTGGCGGCCGTGGTGGGTCATGCCGGGCGTCTGCAGGGAGTTGATGAGGTGACCGGTGGCAGCACCTGGGGGTGGTGGCCGGGGGGCAGCAGGGAGGGTGGTCAGTGAACGCTAAGTAGGAAGCTGAGCAGAAGCTAGTGCATGAAACAAGGTGCTGTTGCCTTGCTGCCAGCCGCACCCTGTCAGTTCCGTTGGCTGTGCGCCGCCCCTCCACCCCCGTTGCCCCGCCATGTCGCCATCCGCCACACCTGTAGGAAACGTCATGCTCGCCCTCTTCAGCAGGGCGCGCCTGAAGGGCACCACCAGCAGCCCGCCAGACACGCCAACCAACAACAGCCACGCGACGCCCTGCCCGTAACTCAGAGACACCGCGTCGCCCACAGCCACGGCGCCGCCGCCGGCCGTCTTGCCGCGCGCCGCCGCGGCCGAAAGCGCCCCCAGCACCGAGCTGTAGCCGCCCGCGGCCACGCTGCCCGCGACGGCCAGGGCTGCGGTGGACGCCACTGCCACCTCCTGAGCATTCAGCGGCTCGATGCACGACAGGTCGCGCCCCAGGACCCGCACGAAGCAGCGCAGCGCCGCCGCGCAGACGAGGGCGGCCGCGACCTGGAAAGAGGGCACGAGGCTGGAGACGCGCGCCAGCCGCGCGGCCAGTAGGGCAAACACGAAGCCCACAGCCAGGCCGGCGCCAAGCGCGCGCGGCGTGAGCTGGGCCCGCAATGGCGGCAGCGGGTGGCTGCTGCTGGGCGGCACGACGGCGCCGCCAGTTGCCGCGGCGTCTTTGTTGCTGACGCCACGGCCGGCGCCGGCGCCGGCCCCGCCGCCGCCATCGCTGCCACCGCCGCCGCCACCGCCGCTGCTTGCGCTCCCCTTTGCCACTGCTGATGGGAGGCCCAAAGACGAGCGTTCCTGATCAACCTCCAAAACGGTGTCATTAGTCAATGCTGGCCGCACCTCCTTGACAAGCCCATGATGATGACTCATGCTGCTGAGAATGGCAGCTGCCGCCGCCGCACTGTCACCCAGCACGACGCTGCCGAACATCAATTCGCGCGCCGACGGCACAAATGTGGCACTACCGCGCGTCGAGCTGCTGGACTTGGGGGGCCGCAGCGCGGGCGAGGCTGAGCTGCCGCCGGTCGAGCTCGTGTTTGTACTGAGCGGCGACCCTGGGGCAGAGCCGTACCGAATGCGCAGTGTCCCAATTATTCCACAGTCCAACTCATCAGGGACCCGTGGCGGCGCCCGCGTTGGCGCCGTGCCACGGCCGCCGCCGAGCGCCGAGAGGAGCGCGGCAGCCGCGGCGGCTGCCTCGGGGCTGCTTGGCTGCGGCTGCTGCTGCTGCTGCTGCTGCTGCTGCTGCTGCTGCTGTTGCTGGTGCTGCAGCGGGGTCGGCGGCGGCTGCCGAAGCTGCTGCTGCCGCTGGTGCTGGTGCTGCAGCTGCTGCTGCAGCTGCTGCTGCTGCTGCTGCTGCTGCCGCTGCGGCGGCATTGGCAACGGCAACGGCATCGGCAACAGCCGTGGCAACGGTAACGGCGGTGGCGTTGGCAACGGCGGCTGCTGCTGCAAAGGCAACATCTGCGAAGGCAATAGCTGCGGCTGATGCAGGGCCACTATTGGCTGTGGCAGCTGCTGCGGCTGCTGCTGCTGCGGCTGCTGTCGCGGCTGCTGCTGCCCCTGCTGCCCCTGCTGCTGCTGCTGCTCCTGCTGCTGCTGCTGCGGCTGCTGCTGCTGCTGCTGCTGCGGCTGCTGCGGCTGCTGCTGCTCCTGCTGCTGCGGCTGGTGCTGCTGGTCTGTCCCACTGGCGGCGGCTGCATCAACCAGGCTGGTCAGAGAACTGCTGCTTTTCAGCGCCGGCCTCATCGGAACCGCGCTGCTGTTGAACCTCGCGCCGCTCGGCGCTGGCGCCTGCACCATGATCGGCTGCGGGCTTACGCTGGCCGCACTCTCACCGGCACAACCTTTGCTGGCAGATTGACTGCTGCCGTTTGCAACATTGAACGCGGCACTGGCGGCTTTAGAGATGAGCTTGACGAGGGTCTGCTTTGGCGCGCTGCTGGCGGCGATGCCGACCGCCACCTCGTCGTTGAATTGGACGGCGCTGCCCGAGCGTTTCAAGCCTGGAGGAATGTCGTGCATCTCATTGAACTCGCTACTGGCGGATGTGTTCTCCTCCCCTGGCGCCATCCGGAGACCCCGACGGCCTGGTGGGGTCAGGCGCCCGCCTGACACTGTGTATGTGGCTCCGAGTGCGCAGCGATTTGTAGATAGATTCAAGATAGCTTTTTCATTGGGTCACCGCTGTGTCACCGGCGTTTGTTGAAACCGTGCGCGCGGCTAGACTCCACGCTAGAAGGGAGATCTGAAGCGCGGGTGTGTTGCAACCTCGCATCATATGAAATGTGACGTATGCGTGGCAACTGACGCAGGACATTCTTGTGAATGCGGCAGAGCGAGGCACATTGGTGCGCACCGTGCGGACCGTGCAGCAGGCAGGTGCGCTCGTCGAAAGCAATCGTGGTGACGCTCACTTTCTACGTCCACACCGCCATGCAATGTCCCCAGGAGTCCGACACCCCGCCCCATCACATGTATGCAGTGTACATCCTAATTGTCTGTACAGCACAGGATCAAGGTCCATCCGCTGCCCCGTCAGCACACACCTCAGCGCATGGCCCCCTCAGGCTTACCGCTACAGGCGGCTGCGCGTCCCACCGCACTCCCCGCAGCCCCCACAGCCGCTCCCCACCCGCGACAGCCCTCCCCCAGCCCCGACTTGCAGGAGCAGCTGCGGCCCCAGCTCCTCGACCCGCGTGGCGCCGCAGAGCGCCATGGCCAGTTCCAGTTCCTTGTGCAGCGTGGCCAGGACCTTCTCGACCCCCGCCTGGCCAGACAGGGCGAGCCCGTACAGCACGGGCCGCCCCAGCAGGACCGCCTTGGCGCCGAGCGCCAGCGCTTTTACTACATCGGTGCCGCGCCTGCATAGTGAGGCGCACGCAGGGCAACATTGAGCAGGTCTGGAAACTGAAAAACACACCTGCCACAGGTTGCGCCTGGGAGCTGGCTTACGGTTGAATACCTTGGATTGATTTTTGACCACGATTGACCACGTATTGGTGGCAGCTGCGCAACTCTCAAGGCATCCCAGAAGGCCCACCGGCCCAAGCGCCTCCGCCCCACCCGAGAGCCGTCCTCGCGCAGAGTCACGGCAACCCAGCCAGCAGGCACGGACGCGAAACACCAGCCCCCGCGCAGCGCACCTGACGCCGCCGTCCATCAGCACTGGCGCCCCGCTGCCGCGCACCGCCTCCACCACCTCCGGCAGCGCGTCTAGCGCGGAGGGCGCGTAGTCGAGCTGGCGGCCGCCGTGGTTGGACACGATTATGCCGTGGGCGCCGTGCTTGAGCGCCAGCTGCGCGTCCTCCGGCGCGAGCACGCCCTTCAGTGGCGGGCAGGGGGAAAGTGCTGGATTGTGAAGTAGGCTAGAAGCAGCTTGACCAGGGGAGCGGGGTTGCGGCACAATGGGTGTGCCTGGTAGGTTGCGCTGGGCAGGGTTGCTCCCAAAATGCCTGTCCAAACCCCCACCAGCATGCATGCAGCACTGACGGCTGGGCACGCTTGACCAGGGACCCCAGGCACGCCTGCTGACCTTCACAAAAATTGGGAGGGTGGTGATGGTCTTGAGCCAGGGGATCGCCTCCCATGTAAGCGCGTCATCCACCTCTTTGGCAAATAGCTGGAACAGGCCGCTGCCGCCGTCGGCCGCCCGCGCGTTGAGCAGTGCCCCGTCGTCGCCGCCCTGCTGCCGCCGCTGCGCCTGCTCCTGCTGCTGCTGCCGCTTGCGCTTCTCGGCGAGCACGTTCAGGTTCGCCATCCCCAGGTTTTCGGGCAGCGCAAACCTGCAAGCCAGCAGCATCGACGCTTGTCAGCTGCCTGTCCTTTGCAGCACGGATCCCTTCCTCCAGCAGGTTTTCAGTCATGCAAAGCCCAGACCACCCACGCCCTCTGCCCCAGCGCGCCCCAGGCATCTCAAGCACCTACAACCCGCCTCCCACATCCTCCTCCACCCCCAAACCCAAGCTTCCCTCCCACACACGCGCTCTTGTGCATGCACACGTGCGCGCACACACGCATCCTGCAATGGCGCCCCTCACCTGTTGCGCTCGTCCGCCTCGCGCCGCCCCAGTCTCGGCGCGTCCACCGTGATAACGAGCGCCTTGTACCCCAGCCGCTCGGCGGACCGCACCCAGCCCTCTACTATGGCCCTGTCCTTGATTACGTAAAGCTGGAACAGCGCAAAGGGGTGGCCCACAGAGGCGACCTCCTCGATGCTCGAGTTGGCCATTGTGGAGACGCACTGGAGGGTCGTGGGGCACGGGGTGGGGGGGCCGGGGGCCATGACGTGCGGCGCGCCATCAGGTGTGTCGACACTCTTGAGTGCAGCCGCGGGGATGAGGGCGGCAGCGGGTTGCAGGCAATGGAAACCCCCGAATCCTGCAGGGGGGTGCGCGGCTGCTGGGCGCGGGCGGTCCTTAGGCGGCGCCGCGGTCCCACCATCGGGACGCCCTGCGCCATCGCGCCCCTGCAGGTGGCCAGCTCCCTGCCGGGGTGCGCGAGGCCGTGCATTGCCATCGGCGCCACCAGCACGGGCATCCTGATGCGCCGGCCTGCGACGCACATGCGGCGCCGCACGAGCAGTGTTTCAGCGATCCCGATGCCGACCTCGTTTCAAATGCAGTGGTCTCGCAGCAAACTGTTGGTCAGGCGCTGGTGGCCAGCCTGAATTGTCATGCTGCTTCACCCTGCTTCCAACTGCTGCTGCTGCTGCTGCGACTGCTGCTACCACAAGGTACACACCTAAAAATTCGCAGCCTGTGTCAACACGCGATACATCGATGAGAATCCGTGGCAGCAGGCGGTAGCGGCCAAACACGTTGCGGTTGTCGCGCGTGCTCTGCTCGGTCTCGGCGCCGCTGCAGTAGTAATCAAACGCCATCCTGCTCAAGCAAGCGAGATGGTTGAGTGCAGCAATGCTCCCATGAGACCATTGTAAGCGTGGCTCTTGGGCCCTGTGTCGTGCGGCAGGACGGTGCACCTGCTTGAACAGCCACGGCACCAGGCAGGCGCCGCTGCGTAAACCCACTTTGGCATGCGTGCTTTTGCCAGGAGTTCCAGCTCATCCAAATTCAAAAACTCTGCACTAGCCATGTCTCAATGGCTGTCTGTTGACTGCAACACCACGGGGCCTTCCGAGAGTGTGCGACGGTGCGAATGATCTGGAGCCTGGCACGATGTGATGGGCCTCGTGGAAAATTATGACTGTTATGATAAGAAGGGGTCGTAGAGGTGGCCTTCCTCTCAGCGTTGCTGTCCTTGATTAGTCTAGGCTCGCGTAGCTGCGTGCCAGCGTGCTGCTTCGGGCGAAACGTGTTTCAACGCATTAATTGACCAATTTACGATCTTTTCAAGAACATACACAACTACCATTGCTCCGCTGGTTTGGTCGTTCCTCTTCAACGACTCTGTTAGCGGCCACTGTGCGTAGTGAGCAGGACCATTGCACTGAAGACTTAGTTTATTGTGTTTTCAACGTCTTGTTGGGGTCGTTGAAGCGGCTAGTGGACCTCGCTGAGACTGGACACCTTGATCACACGCGTGCGGCTCACCGAGGGGCGGATCCAGGCCCTTTAAGTCCAGTCAAGGTGCAATACGTCGCATTATTCTGATTAGGAGGGCATGCCAACCGCTGGGACGTTCCGCAAGACCGCAACGCTGCTTCCTTGCAGTGGCACACCCAGCAGGGCAGCGCAGCGCCCCTCAATGGTGCAAGCCTTGTGTGCTTGCAGCATCGGGTGTGCAGCAAAGCCCACCACCACACAGCCTGTGCCTCTGCAGGATAGAATGTTGACGATCTTCTACGCTACGGCTTTCGATCGGCGGCCCCTTCACCCGTGCGCCCCTTCCCTCTCACGCCGCAGCGCGCCCCGGCCGGCCGGCCCCAGCCGCGCCCGCAGCAGCCATGGTGCGCCCCCTCGCCCTCGTCAAGCCGTTCCTGAACATCCTGCCGGAGGTGGTCCCGGCGGAGCGCAAGATCCCTTTCAAGGAGAAGGCCATGTACACCATGGTGACCCTCTTCGTCTTCCTGGTTTGCAGCCAGCTGCCGCTCTACGGCATCCAGACCAACTCCTCCGCCGACCCCTTCTACTGGGCGCGCGTCATCATGGCCTCCAACCGCGGCACCTGCATGGAGCTCGGCATCAGCCCCATCGTCACCAGCGGCCTCGTGATGCAGCTCCTCGCGGGCTCCAAGATCATCGACGTCGACAACAGCGTCAAGGCCGACAGGGACCTGCTCAACGGCGCCCAGAAGCTGCTCGGCGTGCTCATCACCATCGGCGAGGCCGTCGCGTACGTCGTCTCGGGCATGTACGGCGATGTGAAAGAGCTGGGCACCGTGAACGCGGTGCTCATTATCGCGCAGCTGTTCTTTGCAGGCATCATCGTGATCTGCCTCGATGAGCTGCTGCAGAAGGGTTACGGCCTCGGCAGCGGGATCTCCCTGTTCATCGCCACCAACATCTGCGAGTCGATCATCTGGAAGGCTTTCAGCCCCTACACGATCAGCGGCGCGCGCGGCGCGGAGTTTGAGGGCGCGCTCATCGCGCTGGTGCACCTGCTGGTGACGCGATCCAACAAGCTGCAGGCGCTCAAGGAGGCGTTCTACCGCCCCAACCTGCCCAACATCAACAACCTGCTGGCCACATGCCTCGTGTTTGTGGTGGTCATCTACTTCCAGGTGTGTGGGGACGAGACGGGGCTCGTGAGATGGTCGGGTTGGGGTTGGGGGTGATCAGGGGGAGGCGCCAGGCAAGGGTGCAGGGGCTGCGGGGGCTGTCTGTGTG